GAGTTTAAAAAATGTGAGCTGGCTGGAGCCTTCATTCCTTGTTTATTTTTTACATTAGATACCAGCTGATACCCCTCCCCCCCGTGCATATAGGGAGTGCGTACTGTTGATTATAGTTCCTGGGATCCCTGTGGAGTGACATGGCCAAGCATAACAAGTGCAATGTCATTGAATTTCCCCTTACTAGCTCCATGAAGGAATCTCCAACAGTTCAATTCCATTGAACTTGGGTTAATTAATAACTAGGACCTTACGGTGTAACTCACTCGGTTTATTCTGTATAGTGGGTAAACATATACAGACCATGCTGCGTCCATCACTGACTCACTAGAGAAAACATGCGCAGTCGTCTAGCTACTTAATATTCATGAGGGCGGATCATAGTTCAACATAACATCTTGTTACAGATGCGACGAGGAGCTCCATTTGAACCCTAGATTTGAACCAACTTTAACATTATGACCGGGATTGGTTTCAACCGACAACGGCGATCGTGACACTGTTTCAGCATCGGTCGCTGAAACAGCTTGCTGTAACAACAAACTTGCATCGCACAAAGCTTGACATGCTTCCTGAATTTTAGTCACTTTTGCCGAAGGAGACAACACAATATACCTGGTGCAGACGACATTTTCCCCGTATCTATTATAATTAGCTTCGACTAGTTTTGTAAATTCGCTATAAATAATAGTCAGTAGTTAAAATAAAAGTTATGTTTATGCTGTATTAGTACGCTGGGATATAAATACAAGATATATTTATGCTACAAACACGTAGTTTCAAACCCATGACAACTACTCGCATGTATTCGTGCCTACGCTAATCTAGGGAGTTTGTTCACCATGCATAAATTATCATAATTAGACAGATAAACATGTCAAATAATGCTAACATAATGCTAACATAATGACAAAATAATGCATAAATGTGAACAAAATGATGAAATAATGTAAAAATGCTAACAAAACAAAAACACAATGATACAATAAAGATAAAATAACTTGAAAATGATGATGAAATAAAGATATAATGAAAACATAATGATAAAAATGTGAACATAATAATGAAATAATGCAAAAATGCTAACAAAATTAAAAAATAATGTGAACATGATAAAATAATATAAAAATGTGAACATAATGATGAAATAATGTAAAAATGCGAACAAAATTTAAAAATAATGTGAACATAATGATAAAATAATATAAAAATGTGAACATAATGATGAAATAATGTAAAAATGTGAACATAATGATGAAATAATGTAAAAATGCAAACAAAATTAAAAAATAATGTGAACATAATGATAAAATAATAAAATAATAAAATGTGAACATAATGATAAAATAATATAAAAATGTGAACATAATGATGAAATAATGTAAAAATGTGAACATAATTAAAAAATAATGTGAAAATAATGATAATATAAAATTGTGAACATAATGTAAAAATGCTAGCACAATTAAAAAATAATGAAAAAATAATGGTATAATAAAATAAAAATGTGAATATAATGATAAAATGATTAAAAAAAGCTAACAAAATGAAAAAAAGAATGTGAACATAATAGTAACATGCTAAGAGAAATGTTTTTGGCACTGATCTCATCCATACATGTCAGTCATAATCAGATCTATGTTGGACGACTGGTATCCATCTGTTTTTTACTCCTGAGTGTGAAGCACACAATGGGAGTCTTTGCAGTTAGTCGTTGTGTCTGTCCATTCCACTGATATCTCAAGAACCACATGTTGATTTTTGATTAAATTTGATGCATAGATACTCTGGGCTAATGAGCAAATTTGATCAGGTTTTGGTAGAAATGCCATGCATATTAATCACCTAATTTGCATGATAATTACCTAATTTTTAGCTGTTCCATGACTTTTCCTGTAATGTCTGAAGAGCCACTCATTGGATTTTGATGAAATTTGGTACATAGATGCTCTGGACTAATGCACAAATTTGATTAGTTTGGGGTAAAAATTTGTGCATATTAATGACTTAATTTGCATAATAATTTTCAGCTCTAACACTGATATTTCAAGTACTAATCATTTCATTTCAATGAAAATTTGTTTTATGATTGGATCCAAATTCACTATTGAATAAATATAAAAAAATGTACATAAATCATTTAGTGTAACATGGCAAGATTTCCTCCTGAGATGCATAATAGATTATTACTATATGGATGTGAGTAAAAGTTATTTATTCTCTAAGATGCAATGTATGTTCACTTTGTACACATTCATGTTTGACTTATGCTTTACTTATTAAATTATAAAGTTAATTGTAAAGACTGTCTTAATTTCCCATCATGAAAACAGAGTTTGTACGCTTATGAATCAGGATGTCACTGCAGTACCATAATACCAATTTTTATTATGATATAAATCATTATTTACAAAAATAAAAACATGTAAATTTGGGATACCCTCAAATGATGAAATCATTTGAAAACCTTCTTGTATTGGATGTTTGTATTGCAGAGGAAAGAATAAAAAGCAGGAATCAAAGGATGTCTTCATTTTGGAACCATCTACAATAGTGAGCTATCGTGACTGTGAACGTGATGAGACTAATAAGACTGTGAATGTAGCTGAGAATAAATCATCACTCTGTGAGATAAGAGATAAAGATACATCATCCACAGAAAGGCTTTTATCAACATTGAATTGGTTAGACAAATCTGAAATTGTAAATTGGTCTGAAATTCCAAATGAAATGGAATGTGCTGAAAAACAGGTAGCAGTAGTCATGATTGTGTTACCATAGTAATGTGTTCGACCTAATTTCTTTCTAATAGTATATGCTGCGGGTAAATAACGATTCACACCTCTTGAACAATATACTCATCCATATCATTAACACTGCTCAGAACACACAGCTGCACACAAAATGTAACTGTGCACAGTGAAGGAAATGTTTGTTGTTTGATATTATAAAACAGAAAAATCAGAATTCAACTTGAACTATCAAACTATCTAAAACTTGGGTTTAACAATTTTACTATTAATGATTGATCAGGAAATTGGGGCAAATTGTGTAGCCATGCAAGTCAATGAAGCAACCGTCCCACATTTCGATATACCTGTAACAATATTATAAGATCAAGCAGTTCACACCTCAATCAATTGCTCTCTCCAGACCAATCTATTGAAAGACTGCATACATGTTCTATGTTGCAGGAAATCCAAGACTTGCCAATTGAAGAAAACTGGGTTCCAATACCAAAAGGATGCATACATTGCATGATGAACCGAAAAGTGCAGTGGGATCCATGGGAAAACTGGGATACACAGGAAGCAATCAAGGATTGTTGTAATATGCAGAATAAAGCAGTGGTGTATACAAGGAAACTTACATCACAGAGTGAGAGTAAATCTAATACCTGCCTGAAAAAATCTATGACTACTGGAACAAGAATGCTACAGAATATAAATGAACAAGTACACAACATTCTGCCAATAAAAAAAATTAGAACAACATCAACTGATAATGAAAACAATGATGACGTCGTGGTAAAATATGATGAAGAAATGAAAACAAAACATAGCACTTTTGATAAAATTTCCACACCAAGTCAGAAGCAAAAAAAACCTCTCTTTAAGAGTAAACCAAATAAAGGCTTGAATGCTAGTAGCTGTTATACTGGAGCTATCACTCAGTATATGATGAAAGGGAGCAAGAAACACAAAGATAATATACCAGAAGATGACAAGAATCCGTCACAAAATACAGGTTCACAAGATGCTTTGAAATGCTGTCCACTTTGTACAATTGATTTTGAACCTGGGTGAGTATGGGAATGAGTGTTGTGAGTATTGTATGATAGATTAGGAGTTAAAGGGGAACTTGCCAAATCCAGGGATTGCACCAATGAATCATTGGACACTATTGATTATGTTGTTTACAATGTTAATCCATCTTTTGTTATCCATTGTAATATTAATCCAGAAAGTAAATTTGTTGTGAGATTAGGCTTAAATGAAGATGCCTGGCTCTTTATGTTATATTGTGTAATGGATTGTGAATTTATTAGGACGAGTAATGTGAGTTAAGGTGAGTATTGTACAAAAGA